ATTTGGTGTTTAGTTTTACTTACTAGTATTGAAGCAGAAAGCACTACAGACTGTGCTGTCTCTGAGATGCCTCTCAGAAACCATTGCAAGGTAGCACAAGGCAACAAGGGTAGACCACATTAAAACTGAGAGTTTTCCTCAATTCTCTAAATTCAATGTTCACTTGTTTCTGTCTGCAAAGGCAAAACATTACAGCCATCGATGTGAGTCTACTGTCGACTTCAGATTCACTTCTAACAAGCAATAAAACCGAATAAACTTGTTCGTAGTTTCGAACTTTCTTGACGACGCCATATTTGTTTTGTTTGATTCATCAACACCGACCTGCGTTCTGTTTTTACCGTGGCTGTTGGCAGATAGTTCTTTTCGACAGTCAAATGTCCTCCCCTCCCCGCCCACCTCCCGCCGTCTCATCCCAGCAGTCTCGTAGTCTGCTGCTTGGAGTTCACCTCCACCTAAAAAGTGAGGTTAGGAGTCTTTCAGTCCAGAGCATCAAATCGGGTGGGTGGAGGGATGTATCAGCAGGGCCAGGTTGCCGTCGGCTGTAGGCCTGCAGGCACTCAACTGTTCGAGATCACCAGGGTGCATCAACGACGACGACCCCCCCCCCCTCTCCTTTCCCATGGTGCTATCGGTCAGAGCTGTGAAGGTGCGGGAGGAAGGGCACTGCGAGGCGAGGGTGCCGGCGGCGTCTATGTAGCCGGGGACGTACGTCGTCGTTGACGGCGGTGGCGCCGCTGCCGCCCGTGGTGCGTGCGCGCCAGTGCGCGCATGTCGCCGCACGCGAGCTGAGCCCCGTGCACCGCCGTCGAGGCGCGCAGCATGCCGCTCCCGCCTATAGTGGCCGTCAGCGGCTCCGGTACGGACTCGGTGACGGCCGGCATGGCCTCACCCTGAGCACGCTGGCGGAGCGCACGCGGGGCGCGCTCGGTGAAGTGCTGCGAGTCGCTGACGCGCTGGAAGATATCCAGTTAGCGTAAAAGATGATGCCCTGTACTGAAAGATTCCTAATCTCACTTTTTAGGTGGAACAGGACTGCAAGCAGCAGACGACGAAACTGCTGGGATGAGACGGCGGCGGGGGGTTGGGTGGTGGGGAGTGGGAGGGTGGCAGGACTGTATCTTGTTACGGTTGTAACGGGGAGCGCCTGACGGGTAGGCCACCCGCGCCGACCCTCGCGCCTGGAGGTAGGCAGCCTCTCCTGCACGAGTAGCTGTCTGCCGCTGGGGGCGAGAGATGGCGCTGCCGTCTGCATGTCTGGAGTTCTCTCCTCCCTAAAAGCTACAATCTGCCAACAGTACGGTAAAGACAGAACGCAGGTCAGTGTTGATGAATCAAACAAAACAAATATGGCGTCGTCAAGAAAGTTCCAAACTATGGTTAGGTTTATTCGGTTTTATTGCTTGTTTGAAGTGAATCTGAGGTTGACATTTAGACTCACGCCGAGGGCTTTAATATTTTATCTTGCCTCGCAAACAGAAACAAGTGAACATTGAATCTAGAGAATTAAGGACAAGTCTAAGTTTCAATGTAGTCCAGCCAGCCTTGTGTCTTGTGGTAGTAGGAGGAGACTCAATAGTTTACAATGGGGGTCTGGGAGGCAACCAGAGACAGCAAACTCTTTAATGCTTTCAACTTGAATACTGGTGAGTGGTGTGTGGTTGCAGTGACATTTTATTGTTTGAATCAGTTTTGAGTAGTTTAGTTAATTCATATCATTTGTTTTCATTGGGTCTATTTGTTTTTGATCGTTTATTCAGATATTATTATCTGTTTGTATCCAACCATATTGCCAATGACTTGTACAGGGCCCAATTAATGGGCTTGGCATAGTAGAAGTCTCCATCCATACTTTTGTGAATGCTATTAAAATTTAGAAACACGTATCTTAGTGTGCGAGCAATATAAATGTCATTTAATTGTTTTTGTACGACTCTTGTTGTAATGTTACGATATGAATAATAATAATAAATTACAATATTTGTTGTAAAGTTTCAAATTCGTAACAAAGTCGTAACTTTACAATACTATTTGTAATTATGATTTTACAAAAAATATCGTAACTTTACAGAGAAATTTTTCACAGTGGATGCACACAGGATTACGTGATTACAAGGATTACACGTGAATTTTGAGTGATTACACGTGAATTTTGTTGAATTCCAGTCTCTAAAACCATCAAATATGGACAATAAGGCAAAATTTAGTGATAATGTTATAAATTTGGTCAAGGATTACACGGAATTGATAAGGATTTCGTAGGGATTACACCCTCATCTGTACACAGGATTACGCGAGTGGTGGCCCCCTCGCGAGAATGCGACCAAAACACGCCTTAGTTTTTTACGCGGGGTGCCACACTGTCATGCAGATATTGATTAAGGTGCCCACAACTTACCTCTATACTAGTAGAATGCTGTGCATTAAAGGCTGAGTGTGTATGGACTGCTGTATATATGTACATGTATACTTGAACTGAAATACATTTACAAATTAAAAATTACATAACGTATTCAAAGTAACTCGACATCCACACTATTCATGAGCAAAAAAAAGGGTGCATTCATTGATGAACATTAGAACGCAACCCACCAACACAAACTACGCGTGATGGTCACCTGTTTTGCTGCAAATTAACTATACCAACTTTAAATAAGTCCACTACACTATTTCACAAGATCAATATGCTTTCATCGACCAATATTTTGTACAATTACATAAATTTAGTGCAACAATTTTTTGAATATCATTCCTTAGTGTCAACATATACATTATTCGCAAACAATAAAAGGGTACATTCAACCCAACCCAAACACACATTTACATCAACAACGCCACCTACTGGTGAATGACTTCACTACGTTCAAACGTCAACATGCCCGTATCCGCTCTTCCCCGATCGCATCGCATACATTGAAACCAGTATTCCGACGTCGAATTAATCAGTACTTATAAAATGCCAAGATGTCCATTATATGAAGCATGGCTAGGCGTTTTGGATAGCCTTGGTAACTGTGATCAATGGGGTCCGATGGAAAAAACTTATCGCAATGCGTTTTGGACTCATCTCAACTATAAAAATCGCTTGCTTATTGCGCTTTTCTGTTATCAAAACGGTGACAATATGTACCGTGTATTCAAGTTCCTCAGAATTCGTCACAAAACAGATTTGCACATTGATAACAAACTAACAAAAATGGAAAACTTGTTCAAATACTGGAATGACCCACAACATGGATTTGAACGACGGTCAATATACTACGCTTGGGATATGTACCAAAACTGCTTTGCTAACTTGAATGGAAAACCAAAACCAACTTTTAATAGATACATTTGTTAAATCTGTTGTCAATATTTTATACAAGTTTTATTATAAGAAATTGTTACATAAGTTCAATCTACACCTGTTATCTAATATGTCAAAATTTTATATAACTTCATCATGTCTTCATTTGAAATCTGTACGAACCTATACACATGATTTACAAAATACCTTTTCACTCACAATTATCAAACAACATTTGTATGTGTGTATGTAATTCCTTAGTGACGTTGAACATTAAACTTTATTCGTACTTCTCATTCTTATTTTCCTCATTACCTCAAACTTCACTTTATCTGAATTCCCTTTAAAATGATAAAATTCAAGACACCACAAATGGTGGATTTATTCAGGTCAATTAAATTATTTGAATTAAGAAACAGAAACATCTTACAGCTCATAATAATATTTATTTCCAGATGTGAACAATTGACAATACAACATATTATCCAAATATGATGTATGAATATTCAACATATATATAACAGACACCTATAACCATATCATACACATATCATTATTGCATTTATAACATTAACACTTTACACATAAATAATAAAGCACAATATGATAATGCAACACGATGTAAACACCCATATACAACTCAGTAATTAATCTGACTTGGAATTTAAAGACCCAGAAGAAACAACATTCGATTCGTTGACAATAGAAACAGCTGGAGACGCAGGTACTTCTTTCTCAGGAGAAACACTTGAAGCTGCAGCCGATGGTTCCAATTTAATAATTTTCGTGGGTGAAGATGAACAACCTGCATCTCCACTCAGATTACTGGATACCCGCTTCTTATTTACCATTGCATTGGTCTTCTCAACTAGTTTCAACAATTCATCTTGGGACACAACTAAAACAAGAAAGACAAAATAAATTACTACAGTGCTAACATAAAATGAAAGACCAAATATAAATCAGATATACAAACCTTCATCAGGTTTATGAATGCGCCCAATAAATCGTTTGCTTCTATTGGGCCCATCTATCAGACCATAAAAGCATGCATTATAACATTTTCCTGATGCACTAGCTTGATTAATGGCATCAATATTATCTTGAGCAAATTTCAAAATGCCAGATGGAACATAAGTAACAGTTTTTAATAAGGGTGAGTCAGATATATCAAGCTTCACACTTTCCACCAATTTTCCATTGAAATTCCTGTTTTCCTTGGTGGCTTCCTTTATTGGGTACAATTGCCCAATATTTAAATCGCCAAACGATAGTGGAACTTCATCGGTATGATCCATGACTGCAAATGAAACAATATAACACTATAAAGTTTTGTAAACAATTATTCAACTCCTAACCAATGGAATGATATGATATGAAAAACTTTGAAATTAAGGCTAGCCGAAACTATTAAACTATGGATAATGCGTAGCAAGCAAGGCATATCAGGAACATCCAAAGTTACAATTAACGCAAACAATACAAATAAATGAATGCACAAAATAATGTGTGATAAAACACTAACTTGAATGGTTACACCTGCTTTCCCACAGTTACATTCTTACAACTTTAATGATACCATATTAAACTGACAATTGTCACGACGACATGAACACAAACTCATCAACACGTGTTATAACCTAAAACATCCGAAATACAACTTACCTGTCAAATACAAGAGCTGCACAAATTGAACTGATACCAAAAACGTGCCGGTTGATAGAGAATAAAATACCGCTCACACACAGGTTTAAAAGATTGAAGAAAGACTACGTAAGTAAACTTGAACCCTGCTAAACGACTCATGGCCACATAAAATTTTTCTTCCATGAAAACATTTAACACAAATTAATTAATAAATCAATTTATACGTTTACATTATCATTTGCAATTACTTCGCTTGCTTAATTATATTTCAAATGTACAAATAGATTTATATCCCCTTCACGTATTATGACGTAAACCTATACCAATACACAAATTCTCACAAACAATTTCAAAATTGCAATAAAATCTTTATCCACATTACTTCCAATGCAGTTTTTGAATACAGCAAAAACATTATTAGGGATGGCATCATTGTTCCTAAGTGCTTTGTACCTAATCCTGTTGTCATAATGTCTGTTTAATTACATATATAAATGAAAGTTATGAACATAAGTCTTAATGCGTATAGAGAGCCACATTTTTATAACTCATGTTCTTTTTCTAGAAAATGAGAGATATTTCCTTAATTTTGAGATGTTATTATAGGAAGTGGAAGTTGTTATAACAACTAAGATCTTATTACAAAATCTCAAAGATGTTGTAACAAGACGTTACTCACTTCATTAAATGCTCAGAAATGGTTCAGCGTACTGCATTTAGCGTACATCACTTTTCTACTATAAGAACATGAAGTTATAACAACAAGTTTAAGTTATTATAACAAATCAAAAATGTTGTTATCATAACTTCCAAACGCACTCCAGGGGCCCAGCGGCACTGTTTGGCAACACTGGAGCCTGTTGGTTTGCCTAACCCCACACTGACAGGCGCTTCATTGCAGCTCGGGAAAGTTATTTTCGTAACTTCTGACTATAGCATAGCACAGGTGCCTTGTAAGTAGGCAACGAAGATGTAGCCGTGCCAATTGGGTTGCCTACCTCCGCACTCACAGGGGCTTCCCTCGGCGACACCGGTGCATTTCGGCTGCTTCTATCGGTGAGTGGAATGAACAAACATCAAATCTCTGATTAAAATACACTGTCAACTCGTGACCGGCCAGTCACAAGTTGTCCCTTCCCGGCTGTGTCCAAATGCGGACTCGTGACAGTGTCGTCACAGAATAGCTTTTTTCAGTGTTGTTTAAAGACGCTTTTTCACAACTGTTGCTGGTGTTGGTTTCCCTCACCTCACTGATAAGTTAAGTGTGCAACTGCACTTCAATAGATTGAACTCTCACTCTGCCGGAAGTGCTCTATAAAACAGTTACACACTTACAAGG